GTCCCACTGCTGATGACTGCAACCCAAACTTCTCTGATAATTTGGGGTCTACCAGATTTCTCCAATGCAGAGTTTCAGGTTTTCCCTTTGTGATTGATCAATATCTCTGGGAATTGCTTAAAGACCTATGCCTTCAATTTTAAAAGGGACTTTCTTTGCCAGAATGAACCGTATTCACGTTCTTCTGGCCCATGGTCTTTGCAAAGGCTTCTTTTCCTCATGAGTGAGTTGAAGGCTGGCTTCAAGGTGTCCTTAGACTTTGTGAGGAGCCCCCCTCATTTGGCTGAAGAGGAAATTGAGGCCCACAGGGCAGAGAGACATGTGCAGGGTCACACAGCAGGTTGGTGACAGAGCAGGGCAGGAATGAGTTCTTTTTCCACCAAGTTCAAGGGGGAGCACCCCTCCCAACCCCACACACCCTTCCCCTCAAGTGTGTCTGGCGGCCCTGGACTGTTTGCCTGAGCTCGATAAGCAGAGATCTCCAAGCCCTGTTCAGGGTAGGGCAAAGCCCCAGGCCCCCTTTCTCTCCCTTTATCTCAGAACCTGGGGAAAGGGAGGTGGGGTGGGGCTGGAGGAGTGGAGGAAGGGGCAGAGCAGAGGCAGGGACAGAGGCAGGCTCCTCCTGTAAGAGCTAGCCAGCCCTAGGCCCTGGGGGACAGGCTCAAAGGGAGTTGGGGGAGCATATTCAGGCCTTGGAGAATCTGAGCCTTAAGATGGACCACCAGAGTGGGTGCTTTGAGAGAGGTTCCAGGTTGTGTGCAGTGGATTCCAGGAATGCCCAAGACATACTGGCTCTGCTCTGCCCTGGGACGAGGGGTGAGAAGACCCCAGGCCACCAGCTAACAGCCCCTAATCCAGGGTCATTGCGTAGACAGGAGGGGTGGCACCAGACTGGGACCCTGAAGTGGTGAGAATCAGGAGGTGAGCCCACCCTCCGAGGAGCTGGAGGTGCGGGACAGCCTGAGTCCTTGAGAAGACAAAATAAGGGCGGGGTTCTGCTGAGCGGAGGGACAAGAAGGAAAAGGGTCTGTGTCCATGCCAGTATTTATTTATGGGTGCCTTGGGCCCGCAGAAGGTGGCTCCAGGCCTGCCTGCAACTGATCAGCTGTATTATAAAAGGAAAATGGGGCAAGGACTTCAAGTGTCTTGAGGAGGCAGCTACCTGGCTGATTTTGGGGAAGGGGACAGTGAGAGGAGCTGTCTTGAATTTGTTCAAGAGCAATCTAGGTAGGGAGGGCCAGAGAGCCAGGACCCGGGGCGTGGGCCTGCCCAGGTGGGCTCAGACCCTTCTGGACTCCCTGCCCCAGCTCAGGGCCCCTGCCCTCTCCTCTGATCAGGCCCTTGCTCCCAAGCCGCCATCTGTGGGATGAGCCTGAGGCTCCGGATTAGAAACAAAACCTGCACGGGACACAATCTCCACCTCAGGGAACTTTCAGGCCGAATGTGTGTAGGAGGGCGCTCCCAGTGCCTGGGACCCAAAGAGCTCTGCTGGGCATGGACTGCGCCCGGACTACACGGCCAGGACCCTGGCCTGTGCCCTAAAGAGCAGAGATGGGGACACAGCAGATGCACATGAGCAGAGAAGCAACTGGAAAGAACCCAAGGAAAGGATGAGGGCTGAATGTGGCTGGAGGCCAGGGAGTGGTGGACAGGGCTGAAAGGGCGTCCGGTGGATGCGCAGGAGTCAGCCTGAGTGTGAGTCAAGCAAGGACACAGTGGCAAGAAGTAGAGAAGGGGCTGGGCAGGGCCAGATGGGCACTGGACAAAACGATCCTCCTGTGTGTGTGTGTGTGTTGTGTGTGTGTGTGTGTTTGCTTGTATATGTGGGTGAGTGTGAGAGCGTCTGTGTGTGCATGTCTGTGTGTATGTGTATGGTTGGGGGAAGATGGAAGCTGGGGGTGCCAGTCCCAACTAAGAACTTCTGGTACAAGTGAAGGATGCTGCGGACTGGACTCATGGCGAAGGACCAGGAGGGGCAGGAGGGGCCAGGGTCACTTCGGGAGGCCAGGGCAGCCTTCAGACTCGGGCAGTCCCCAGCCAAGCCTACAGTGGGAGGCTGATAGGGAAGAAATGGGGAGTCCCTTTCTGGACTTGTGGTTGGGTGTTTGCCACCTGGAAGTTTCCAGAGAGCAATGAGAGTCCAGGCCTATCAGATTACACAGGACCCACGATACCCCCAGGCCCTTATCCTCCACCCACAGCGGATCATAGCTTGGTTCCCTTGAAGAAATGTTTGCACACACTCCGCAGGTATGATATATTCATTCATTCTGTCTGGAGAATCCTGGCTGGTGCTCCACCCTCTGCAAAGTCCAGGCTGTCCCCCACATGCTCTGCACATCCCTCTAGTCCTGCCAGCCCACCCCCTCCCCTACTGGGGCCCTGCTCTTGTGGATTCCCCCATGCAGAATACCCCTGCCCCGTGCTTTCACTCTGTCAACTTCCTGCCTATCCTTTGAGATCAGCTCCTCCAGGCCTCTGTCTACCAGGCTAGGCCCTCCCCAACCCAGCAACCCCCTGCAGCTGGCCTCTTGCAGGCAAGCCTCCCTTGACTCCCCTACATGCCTGTCTGATCGAGATCAGCTCCACCTGCTTTCTCCCCAAGCTCCAGCCATCACCTTCTGAACTTCTGCAAAACCAATATCACGTTCCCTGACTCAGTTTCTCCATTTGTGGAGGGGCCCGGCAGCTCCAAAGCCAGCCCCTGGGGTCAGTCATGGCCTGGACGCAATTCCTGGCAGGCATCCTGCAGCTCCCAGGCCCGAGCATGTAGGGGCAGCACGGAGTGAGGAGGCACTGGTCTTCAGAAAGTTCCAGAGGAGGCAGCCCTTCAGCTGGGCCTCTCAGTGCCTGGTGTCCGAAGCAAAAGAGGGTGTGCAGACAGAGAAAGAGGCACAGGTGGGCGGTATGTGGGCCAGGAGCCACGCTCTGGGCTGAGCTGTCAGGCTGCTGGAAGCTTCCAACCGAGACATCTGGGCAGGAGTCTTCAACATGGGCTGTTGGGACATGAGCAGGAGGCTTTTTTGTCTGCCTTTTTATTAATCGGTTTGACTATTTTGAGATTTATCCACACTCCGTTCCCTGCTATATGCTAAATAGAATTCCATTTTATGGCTATACCACAACATTTTAATTGAAATATAATTGACACATAACCTTATGTTAGTTTAGACGTACAACATAATGACTCAATATTTATGTATATATTGTGAAATGATCACAGCAATAAGTTTAGTTAACATCCACCACCCCACACAGTTACAAGATTTTTCCTTATGATGAGAACGTTTATGACCTTCTCTCTTAGCAATGTTCAAATACAGTACAGTACTTTTTTTTATTGAAGTATAGTCAGTTTACAATGTTGTGTCAATTTCTGATGTACAGCATAATGTTTCAATCATACATGTACATACATATATGTGTTTTCATACTCTTTTTCATTATAGGTTCCTGTAAGACATTGAATATAGTTCTCTGTGCTGTACAGTATAAGCTTGTTATTTATCTATTTTATATATAATAGTTAGTATCTGCAAATCTTGAACTCCCAATTTATGGCTTCCCAATCCTTTTCCCCACAGGTAACCGTAAGGTTGTTTTCTATGTCTGTGAGTCTGCTTCTATTTTATAAATAAGCTCATTTGTGTCATTTTTTTTTTAGATTCCACATTTAAGTGATATCATATGGTATTTTTCTTTCTCTTTCTGGCTTACTTCACTTAGTATGACAATCTCCAGGTCCATCCATGTTACTGCAAGTGGCATTATTTTATTCTTTTTATGGCTGAGTAGTATTCCATTTTATATATAAATCTCACAACTTTTTTATCCAGTCATCTGTTGATTGACATTTATGTTGTCTCCATGTCTTGGTTATCGCTAATAGTACTCCATTAAATATTGGGGTGCATGTATCTTTTCAAATTAGAGTTACCTTTGGATAGATGCCCAGGAGCGGGAATGCTGGATCATAGGGTAACTCTATTTTCAGTTTCTAAAGGAATCTCCATCCTGTTTTCCACAATGGCTGCACCAATTTACATCCCGACCAGCAGTGTAGGAGGGTTCCCTTTTCTCCACAGCCTCTCCAGCATTTACCATTTGCGGACTTTTGAATGATGGCCATTCTGACTGGTGTGAGGTGATACCTTATTGTAGTTTTGATTTGCATTTCTCTGATAATTAGTGATATTGAGCATTTTTTCATGTGCCTATTGGCCATTTGTAGTCTTCATTGGAGAATTGCTTGTTTAGGTCTTCTGCCCATTTTTGGATTGGGTTGTCTGTTTGTTTTGTTATTAAGTTGTATGAGCTGTTAATACAATATTATTAACTCTAGTCACTGTGCTATACATTACATCCCCACGACTTTTTATTTTATGCTACAGTTTTCCATCCTTTCACCTGTTGATGGGTATTTTGGAGCAGCCAGTTTGGGACTATTACAAATAAAGCTGCAGTGACATTTGCTTCCTGATCTTTGCCTAGACACAGGTTCCTCCAGGGTAAATACTTCAGAAACAAATGACCAGGTCGTAGGGTAAGTGTATGTTCTAAAGAAGGTGCCAAACCGATTCGAAGGGGCAGCACCAGTTTCCTTCCAGCCAGCAGTGTACAGGGTTCTGATTTCTCCACATCCTCACCACCACTGATTATGATCTGACTTTCTGATTACAGCTCTCCCTGTGGTTCGCCATGACAAGTGATGTCCAGTTTTTTTTTTTTTTCTTGGGCTCCTTGGCCCTCAGGATACTTTCTTTGGTGGACGCTCTCCCTCCTCCTTGGGTCCTTGCTTCAGGACGCAAGCTGCTATCGCATCTCAGCCAGGCTTCCCCGACTCCCATTACCGATTACCGATTACCGAGGTGTGAGTCTAGCCCCCCACGCCCACCATGGGCGCCCAGGACCCAGCCCGAGAAGAGGCAGCCACGCCCCTACGCCCAGCCCCACCATCCCGCCCTGCCAGGTCCTGCCAACCATGTCGCGTCATTCCGCAGCCACCCGGGAGTCCGCCTTCGTGCACGCCATCGCCTCCGCCGGCGTCGCCTTCGCTGTGACACGCTCGTGCGCCGAGGGCTCGGCTGCCATCTGCGGCTGCAGCGGCCGCCACCAGGGCTCGCCGGGCGAGGGCTGGAAGTGGGGCGGCTGCAGCGAGGACATCGAGTTCGGCGGGATGGTGTCTCGGGAGTTCGCAGACGCTCGGGAGAACCGGCCGGATGCTCGCTCCGCGATGAACCGCCACAACAATGAGGCTGGGCGCCAGGTACGTCCTCGGCCCCCTCTCGTCCCGCGGTGTTAACTGGAGAGCCCGGAGACCACACCCCTGCAGGTCCCGGGAAATAGAGACTCTCAGAGCAGGGCCTGTGCTCTGGTCCCTTGAGGGGTTACCACCCCACGGTGGGGGCAGGGCAGTGGGCTGCGGGAGGGACGCCTATGGTGGCCCGGCTGGGGGTCTGCTCGCCTCCTGACCAGGGATGTTTGAAACAGAGCTGTGCAGTTGCTCCCACAAGGTCTACGGCATTCCCACAGGATGGCGGGCCCATTTGGGATGGGACAAAGGCCCGCCCTGCAGGAGCTTTCAGGGAGCATCACATTCAGGGAGGGAGACAGCCAGGCCACCACACCGCAGTGCGGTAAGTCCTATAAAGAGGAAATGTACACACAAGACCAAGAGGTCAGTCCCAGGCTGGAGTCTCGAAAACAGACTTACACTGGCAGAGGTGATGAGTGGGGACAAGCAGAGTAATTGGCAGTTATCTAGATGAGGGGAGGCCAGGAGAGCCTCTGGGTAGCCCAGAGGTGAAAAAATGCAAGTGAGTTAGGCCAGGAAAAATATGGGAAGAATATGGAGAACAGAGGAGGAAAGAGATCTGGGGAGTGGAGAGGCTGGTAGGGACCAAACTGCAAAGGGACTTAGTCAGAAGGTCAGTGGGGAACTTCTGTTAGGAAGTGATGCATATAGGGACTGAGAGGTGTCCAGCAGAGTTAGCAACACCAAAAGGGCCCTGGCCTTGGCCAGTGGAACTGGGGAATTGTGAAGGGCTAAAGAGTGAACAGGGACATATGACTTCCAAACAGGGAACTAGGTGACTCAGATGGCTCTTCCTGGTAAGGAAGAGTATAAATGGAGGATGAAATGTACGAAGCACCCTTTAAAAGTATAGACTGCTCACCTGTATACGGTCACCTAATTTATCATAGAGAAGATAGTGCAGTACAGAGAGGGAAATGGGCTTTTCAATAAATGGTCCTCAGTCAACTCGATAACAATATGGAAAAACTTAATCTTGCCCCCCTACCGTATGCCGTATTTTAAAAAATCAATTATAAATCCAAATGGAAACGGTTAAAGAAAAAAAATTTAGAAGAAAACATCTTTGTGACCTTGAATTAGGCAAAAATTTCCTAAAAAGGCCCCCAAAAAAGCAATCATAATGAAGGAAAAAATGTAATCATGTGGACTATATTAAAATTAAGAACATCTGTTTGTAAAAAGGCACCTCCATGAAACTAAAAAGACAATCCACACAGGAGGAAGTGTTCACAATATATATCTCCAACAAACACATGAAAATTATAATATAAAAAGAACTCTAAATTTTTCTATAAATAAATAAATCTCTACAAATTAACAATCAAAAAAGATAACCCAGTAGGAAAGTTGTCTAAAAATTGGAAAGCCACTTAGAAGAAGATCTAGAAATGGCCAGTAAATATATGAAAAGGTGATCAGTATCATTAGTCATCAAGGAAATGCTGTTAGAATGCATGCCCTGGAGAAAGGAGAGGATAACAACTGGAAGAGAGCATGCTGGGAGATTCTTAGGAGCTGATGCTCTGGGGCGGGTAATCTGTGGAACTTTGTCATATTTTGTGCTTATGACATATAAATTTTTGTATGTATGTTACACTTCCATAAAATAATTGTCAGGTGTCAAATAACTAACCATATAGTTAGGATTAGCAGTCCAAGGTCCAGGAGAAGACAAGACTCTGAGCCTGGTACCTGGGGCAGCTTTTGTCCAAGGGTCATTTGCTGATGTGGAAAGAAGTGCATATGCTGAGCTGCACTTTCAGCAGCCTCACAGAGCTAAAAGGGGCCCACGAAAGGTGCTATGTTTAGGAAATAACTCCTCAGTTTAGGCTGGGACCCTGAGGAGTAGAGGAAAACCAGAAGGAGACGAACCCTTGTGCACATTGCAGGCTAGAAAAATCTCAAGGCTGAATATGGTTCCAAATTGCTGGTATATCCAGGCACCTGGAAAAAGCAGATACATCTTCTTTGGAGGATGGTAACCTTATGCTAGGCTGAAGTTATTTCCTACAAATAATTCTTCAAACACAATATCCAATACATAATCAAAGATAACCTGTTAAATGAGCTGATGATACAGTGAGTGATAACCAGCAGAAATGGGAAAGATAAAGGAAAAGAGAAACCAGAAACAAGACTCTGAATACTGGAATTATTAGTCGTAGATTATGAAAAACTGTGCTTACGTATGCTGACAAAGCTAAAATGTAATATAATAAATTTGGGAAAGAATCACATAGAAATTGTAGACCTGAAGAATGAATGGGGGCTTCCAGTTAAAGATGACAAACAAAATACAAACTTTCCCCTCTGCATTCTCCTAGAAACCTACTAAAATGACAATAAATTAATTTTAAGATACATAAATAAACAACTGGGAACGTGGAAGACAGAAGAGGTGACAATGGCAACAAACTTTGAAAGCAAAAATCATATAGATGAATACTCAATATCTTAGTACACTCAGGAAAGCTGAATCTTAAGCCAGCAGAGACCTCTGAGAACCAGGAATTTCTAGTAGCAGATATCTTGAGAAATAGAGATAAATATAGCATTGGAAACAGAAAGATTGGCTGAAATCTATTTTCAAAGCACTTTTTAAGCTACCAGCTCTTCTGTCCAACCCCTTGCATCCAGGCAACACCCCTCCTTTACCATGGCAGAAGTCTGGAAGCTTATTCCCTAGAAAGAATAAAGCAGAAGGTGTCTGGGCTGAAGGACACCAAGTACAGCTGAGGGTGAGACTGCCCAAGTGAAACTGGTCTGTCTACATACACATTTCTCTTCCTGATCTCCTAATGCCACAGTGAAGCTTGATTATGCTCTAGGAAGGAGAATGGAAAAGTCCCCCCTGAGAATCAGACCAACCCAAGAGAAAAGACTTGAAGATATTGATGTGGGGTTCCCCAAAAAACAATGTGGCCAGATCACTCTATAGTGAGGGCCCAAGTTATGAGTCCCTGCACAGGAGATTCCAACAAGATTTTTTGGTGCCCCACTTTTAAGTATGACCAGACAGCCAAGGATCACTGGACATCTGAGGAAGGCCTCCAGCAACCACAAAGGCAAAGACCAAAATAAAGAAACAAAAACTGAAGTTATGGGAAAGATACATTGTAAAGACAGATGAAAACTTCAAAAAACTATCACTATTCCCAGAGAGATAAAACACTGAATCCATGAAATTAGAACAGGATGTTAATTTAAAAGAACATTCGGGGGGGGGGGGAGAAGCTCTTAGAAATTAAAAATAGGAAAGCATAAACAAAATCTCAGCAGAAAGGTTGGAAGATAGTTGAGACACCCTTTCTACAAAGTAGAGAAAAAAAGACAAAGAGATGGAAAATAGGAAAAATTAGAAAATGTGGAGTATCTGTCCAAGGGAGATAATGATGAATGTGGAGATAAGGAAATTGTCAAAGAAGTAAGACAAGAAGGTTTCCAGGGCTGAAGAGCAGAAGTTCAGACCACACAGGCCCCATAAGTGATTGGCTCAAGAAAGAGGAAGACCCACATCAAAACTCATTGCTGTGAAATTCACAGCCTATGACACACAGAAACCTTCCAGTCTTCCCAGAAGAAGGTTTGGTTTCATGCAAAGGATCCAGACGCAAAATGTCATCAGAGTTTCTAAGAACAACAGTGAAAGCTAGAATGAAATAGAGCAATGCTTTCAGTATCCTGAGAGGGAAAAATATTTATACTCAACAATCTTTTCAACTTTTCAAGTAGAAAAGATTTTTTTCCAGACATGCACATTTCACAAAATTTGCTAGAAGGCCTTTGAAAAAGAAATCTCCAAGAAGCTGAAATTAATAGAAAACCTGATGTGTTTGAAAGTCTTGAAGAGCATATTTAGGCAACTAAGGGAGAGCTTGAGAATGAATCTGTGATAAATACATTAAAAATAACAATAACAAAACGTTTTGTAGAAAAGGAAAAGCAATCATGTCACATGGCTCAACTGAGGATGCTATGACATTTAACACAGCCCCAATACTGTCAGCACTAAATATTGACCTCACTGGAATTATGCTACAGTTTTTAGAGTAGGAAAGGGGGTTGGGAAAAGTGTGCATCAGAGTTGTGGGGTGAAGTCTATGGGACCTCCATGGTGAGAGGTCCATAGACAATGCCAAATACTGAAAAATCAAGAAGTGGCAAGACAAATATTTTATTAGAGGTGCAAAGTACTGCCTCAAGTGGTCGGGAAAGTGCTGTGAGTGAGTGTGTGGGAGCAGAACTCCTGTTTTTCTTAACAGGTCTTAAGCACTGTTGGACTCTTTAAAGTGTATGCATATGTAATTTTGATCAAAAGTAGAACTAAAACAAGCAACTAGGGAGGCAGAGATGGGAAGTGGTAGCTCCTCTTTGGAAAAGCTTGGCCACAAAAGAGAAGAGAATGGAGATTAGACAGAACTGGACTTGGGGGAGTGAGTAATTTACAGATGCCCCTAAGAAAGGGCCAGTATAAGAGGGAAGGAGTGAAGAAATAATCGGGGGTGAGGGACAGGGTGGAGGCAGCAGCTGGACACAGAGCCCACATGAAGCCTCAGGCCAGCACTGTCCAACAGAAGAGTAATGGAAGCCACATACATATTTATAAATTTCTAGTAGCCACATTTAAAAAGGAAACAAGTGAAATTTGTTTTAATGATAAATCTTTTTTAACCCACTATAGCCAACATGTTATCATTGCAATAATGCAATCAATATTAAAATTTTGAATGAAATAGTTTACATCCTCTTCTTATGTGAATCTGGGGATTTAGTGTGACCCAGCATGTAGTTTGAATTAAACAGCACTTCTCAGTTTGGACCACCAGCTACATGTCAGGGGCTCACAGGTGGCTGGTGCCCACCGTAGTGGACAGTGCAGTCTCAGTTCTGATTATGTCACAGGACCCTTTCACCACCCCACGCCCACCCCGACTCTTTTCCCCACAGAGAGAAAGGAAGAGAACCTGATGGTGAGATGCCCTCGGGAGAAACACATACTCCTCAGCCACTCTCCAAACAGTAGACTAAACCCAGCTTCCTGGGCCCTGAAGGTGCCCTGCTCAAGCCACTCCTGTGACCCTCCCCCAGCCTTGCCACTCAGCCCAGGCACAGTTCATCTGGGCCAGGTCTTGGATTCTCTCAGTCAAAATGAACTCCTTCCCTCCTGCACCCGGACACTTACATGCCACAAGTTACTTCCTTCCTTCACCCAACATAGATGATACAGAAGTAAACCCAGCCAAGGAGGGGAAGGGGGAGCCTCTCAGGCCTTGCCCTCTGGGGATCTTGGGTCGGCCCCGGGGAGTCACATGGTACAAGAGCCTGCTGGCACCACAGGGAAGGGTGGCGCTGGGCAAGGGCACCCACTAAGCCTGGGAGTTGCGGGAGCTCTATGGAGCAGGTGGACGGGTTGAGTTTGCCAGGTGAGCAGAGGGGCAGCTGCAGGCGAGGAGCACAGCCATCCTCTGGGGAGGCGGGGAGACTGAGAGCCGGCCCTGACGCCCCCCTGCTCACGCGCTCCTGCAGGCCATCGCCAGCCACATGCACCTCAAGTGTAAGTGCCACGGGCTGTCGGGCAGCTGTGAGGTGAAGACCTGCTGGTGGTCGCAGCCCGACTTCCGTGCCATTGGTGACTTCCTCAAGGACAAGTACGACAGCGCCTCGGAAATGGTGGTGGAAAAGCACCGCGAGTCGCGCGGCTGGGTGGAGACCCTGCGGCCACGCTACACCTACTTCAAGGTGCCCACCGAGGGCGACCTGGTCTACTACGAGGCCTCGCCCAACTTCTGCGAGCCCAACGCCGAGACCGGATCCTTCGGCACGCGCGACCGCACCTGCAATGTGAGCTCGCACGGCATCGACGGCTGCGACCTGCTGTGCTGCGGCCGCGGCCACAACGCGCGCACCGAGCGGCGCAGGGAGAAGTGCCACTGCGTCTTCCACTGGTGCTGCTACGTGAGCTGCCAGGAGTGCGCGCGCGTTTACGACGTGCACACCTGCAAGTAGTGGGCGCTGCCCCCCGGGCGCCGGCGGGGCGGGGCTCCTCCCGGCGGGGAGGCCGGCCCCCTCTGGGGGCGGGGCTTCTCCCTGGATGGGGCGGAGCTCCGGGGTGGAGTTCCTGGATGGGGGCGGAGTCCTCTTTAGTAGCGCAGGGGTGAGGCTCCTGAGTGGGGGTGGAGTTCTTCCCAACAGGTGCGGGGCCCCTTCTCAAGATGAAGCTCCAGGGATGGGGGTCCTGGACGGGGGCACCGCCCTCTCTGGGCACAGGACTCCCAGGCTGGGGATTTAGCCTGCTATTAACTATCCTCAGAAGACCACACGGTTCCATCCACCGGATCTCGTCTGTGTAGAGCAGTATCCCCTGGCAGAACGAGCTGTGGAGAACCTGTGGGGTGCATCCTGTTCCCCCATCCTTTCCAATGAGGTCTGCCACCTCCCCCTCCCCCGCCACTCCAATGATTCAGGTGCCTGAAGGCCTGTGGCACTCCTCCCTCAGCCTGGTATCTGCCAACGCTCCCAACCGGGGACCCTACCCAGGAGAGCCTCTGTCTGGCAGAGCCACACGAACTGCCTCGGCTTGGGTGAAAAAGATGGGGCCTGGTGGCAGCAGGCCGAGGAAGAGTCTGGAACCGGAGACCTGGCTCTGTCTTGGCTGCCCTGTGCTGGGCATCAGTCACCCGGGCCCCAGCGAGGCGCCATTCTTGGCCTGGTCAGCAGTGCCCTCTACTTTGCAGCTGACAGAAAGTCCTCTCCCTCCTCCCTGTCTTTGCATTCCCACTTGCAACCCATCCCATCCATGGGAGAGGAGCAAAGCCTCCTGTTCCAGTCCTGCTGTTGCATCTCTCCTGGCCTCAGCTCTCTCCACCTCCCTCATTCACAGTCCCTTGCAAGGTAAAGGCAAGAAGGGTCCAGACTCCAAAGCTGCCCAGAGCCACTGGCCCGCACTACCATCCGGGCCACACTCAGCTCACTTTGAGTGGGCTTAGGTTGTTTGGGAGATTTGGTGGGGGGAGTGAGGTGAGCCCACACTGGTGCTGCAGACAGAGGACCCACAGTCCCCGGAGGGGTGGTCTTCCTCCCAGTCCCTCATGGTCAGGACTGACCCTCAGGTCCTGCTACTGCAGTCATGATGCGCCAGACCTGCCTTCCACTGGCCATTGTCGTGGAGTCTCCGGTTGGCCACTCAGTCCTCCTCACATTTGATTTGTTCAGCTAGTCTGGGAATGAGGGAGGCTGCTGGACCCCTCAGCCAATGCCCACAGGGACTTCCTGCCAGGTGCTGCCACTCCAAGACCTCTCCTTGCTCAGCCTCTGCCACTGTGAAACGTTGCCCGGTCCCCTGGCCCCGGGGGGCCTGCCCTCCAGGCAGGGGGAGAAGACACAGTGAGGGGAGGGATGATCTGCATGCCCCACTAGGGACGCGGCCTTCCTCTGCCTTGAATTTTGCGTTTTCGATTTTAATTTTATTTCTGATGCTGCTATATCCACCATACACAGGAGCTGGACAAACAGACATGGTGTTCTTGTTTTCCTTTTCTTTCTATGAAAGAAATTATTTTAGTCATAGCTTGTGAGTTTCAAACAATGGGGAAAGTAAAAACAAAACAAACAAACAAACAAAAAAACAAAAAGAAGAAACAACCAAATAAGCCTGTGGATTGTGCTGGATTTTTGGTGGTGGGTCAGCAGGTGTGGGGCCTGGATCAGTCGTGGCCCTCTGGGAGGGGCCCAGACGGGAGGAGGTGGTCAGCCTGCTGAGCTCAGAGACTCCTGGGGCCTCTGCAGTGGCTTCCAGAGCCAGAATTCCAGGGAAAGGAAGAGGGCTGGTTACTCTAAAGAAAGGAGGAAACAATCCAGTGGTCTCAAAGTCTGGGGCAGGGTAGGCTAGAGACCAGGACAGAAGACCCCAGTGGAAATGCAGAGAAAGGGGCAAGGAGGCCTGCCTGCTGCAGGAATGTGCAGTGCAGTGAGCAGGGCACTGTGAACAGCCCCAGCTGGCAGAGACCCCACGCATGTCAGTGGTGCAGCAGGACATCCACCAAGTCAGCTGAAAGCCACTTTCCCAAACATCTACAACACGCTGCACTCAGTTGACGTTTGAGCACCAGCAGCATGGCTGTGCTCCTTGGGCTTGGGGCCATGGCCCCTGTGTGGGGTCTTCATCTAGGCCCCGCCACGGGGTGTTCTAGGAGCCCACTCTGGCTAGTAGGCAAGACATGTTCCCTTGATCCGAGGCTCACCAGCCTGAGTCCTAGAAACCAGGCAGGTGCTTCTCTCTGGGCCTGGCCTCCTCCCACCTCCTACAAAGGTCACTTTAGAAGTCACAGCGCTTGCAGCTGGAATCCAGTTTGGAGGTCATGAGGGACATCCCTCGCTGGCAGAGACCTGCTGCATGAAGCTGAGAACTCCCAGGGGCTCTCTCCTGCCCTTGTCCATCCTCAGGCCAGAGGCCAGAGCTGACCCTGGACCCCCGGCCTCCCCTCCACACAGGCGACAGCTAGGTGCGCAAGCCTTGGCAGGAATCAGTGGTCTGTAACTGTATGGTTAGCCAGGTACCGCAACCATGCTCAGAACCTTGGGATGGAGATGGGGTTGCCTTTCCACGCCGGGCAGGGAGAGCTCTCAGGCAAACAAGACATCCTGCTGGCCAGGGCCTCACGTTGTCCCTCCATGGCTGTTGCCCACATCCACCCGCACTCAGGGTGTACAGGGTGTGGGGAGCTGGGAGGGACTCTGAAAATTGAGGCTGCAGGAGCCAGGGGGTGAGGTTGGCTTTCTCAAGGCCACACCTTCACCTCTCCAAGCCAGGAGCAGAGTCTTTGCTCCCCTCTCTGCCTTTCTTGCTCCCCGACTACTACCACCACCTCTGAGCCCTGCCCTGCTACCCAGCTAGACCCCCAGGATGGGGTCAGTGGAGGAGGCCAGGATGAAGGGGCAGCTGGGACAGGTGGGGCATGAGGGGACATGATGCTAGAGCTGAGGACAGGAAACCGAGCCCCCACCCTCTCAGAGGTCAGGCCCTCTGACTTCCACCCTCCATGGGCCATTTGATGGAAGGGAGCGGGGCACGGGGCAGACAGGAGGAGGCCTTGCCAGAAGCCCATAATTGGGAGGCCTGTGCCTCCTGAGAGCAGAAGGAGGGACACCCAATTCAGCTGGCTCCATGGCTAGAGCCTCAGGGCCACATGGTGTCCTTGAGAGCAGAGGAAGGCAGCGCTACCCTCTGCTGACAGAACCACAGCTGGCGGGAAAGGGGGTCTTGGACAGGTGGCCAAGCGTATCTACTCCAGACAGTCCTGCATCAGGAGGGAGCTGTGGTAGGGGATAGAGAGCTGCCTGGTGGATAGAGTGGGAATCCATCAAGGGAGGGAGGGAGGAGACAGGAAGCATAGTGATGGCAGGTCATGGCTTCATCCCTCAAGACAGGACCCCAGAACACCTCCCCTACCATCCCCTCCTGGCCATAGCAGTCTTCACTGGAGGTTCCAAGCCACTGAAGACAGAGCTTGATGGGGCCCAGCGAGACTGAGGGACTGGAGACAGACCCAGGGCTCTGGACTCCCAAAGCTCCCACCTTCACACCCCAAATCACATCAGCTTCCCCGGGCTGGCACACCAGCATCCCACCCCAAGCCCAAGGCCTTATTGGCTCAGGGCTCGCTACTCCCCGAACCAGGCCGTTTCGGGCTGGGTCACCCACTGCTCCAGGGCTGTAGCTGACCACCAGGGATTCCCAACTGGGGCTCCAAGGGGTCAGCTGGGGTTAGACGAGCTCTGGGCAGATGCTCCATAAAGAGGGAGCCAGTGATTAAGTGCATAGGGCAGTGTCTGGGGCCGGAGCGCAGGTGGCCCATCTCACCCACCTGTGTGAGTCACCAGGCAATAGGGCCAGATCAGACACTCCACACAGGAGTCAGGGCCTGGAGGCGGAGAGGTGACAGGTGCCCTACTCGAGCCGCCTATGGGCCACATCCACAACGCACAGACAGCACAAACAGTGCAGCACCTCTGAGCTAGGGCCCAGGCAGGAGCCCGGCATCCAGGCGCCAGGGACTCCACCATGAAAGGGCAGGACAGGCTGGGCAGGGGGGTAGGGGCACAGCCACAAGGTTAAAGAGGTGACATACCAAGAGAAGACGCAGGGGCAGGGCTGGGCCTCCTAGGAAAGCAGGCGTAGACACCGGAGACAAACAGGAGCTACCCTGGGAGTTGATGCAGAAGTAGGTTCTGCCTACTTGGACCCAGCTCTCCATGAGGTGAAGCACCAGGCACCCACTCCCATCACCATGGCTCCAGGGCAGAGAGAGGCAGAGCCCCACCAGAAGATGCCCATGGGTCCACAGGACAGGCCCCGGTAAATGGGCAAGGGGAGCTAGCAAGGGCCTGTGTGAGTGAGGGGGCAAAACCCTCAACTCCCTGCTGGCTGGAAGTAAGCCCCATCCTTCTCGGGGCCTCAGTTTCCCCCCGGTGCAAGAGCCTGTGGGATGAGGGGGCTTCCCAGGGCCTCTCTGCTCCTGCATTTTGCTGATGTGGGATATTCCATCTGGGGCCCCCTCTGGAGCCCAGCTGGCCCCCCTCACCTGCCAAGATCAGCACGTCCCCATGAACCCTGGCCCAGCCCCCCACCCCGCCCCACTTGCCCTTTACCCTCAACTCAGAGGGAGGGCAGAGAACAGGGCAGCCTGCTTGGGCCTCAGAAGCCACCTCTCCAGGGAGTTTACAGCCCCTCCCGCCAGCCCTGAAGAAGGAGGAAATGGGCCTGGTGGGCCTGTTCACAGGTAGTTGAGACGGGAGAGGAATAACCATATTAAAGGCCCGGAGGTAGTGGGGCCTCAACCCACCAGGGCCCCCCTGGGCCCAGCCCCTTGCGAATCTCACACTCCCAGGGCAGCAGCTTTGAAGTCCTGGAGGGAATGTGGCCAGCCCCCTCCTCCTGGGGCCCCCACAGACCCTCCCCGCAACACTCCCACTTTCTGGGTCCTGGGGCCTCAGTTTCCACCCTTCAGGGATGCTCAGAATCCTATCCCCAGACCCCTGTGCTGGGCCAGAACCTCCAGGGCTGGGACCTCCATGGCAACAGGTGCAGGGCCAGCTCTGGGCGGCAGGCCTGGTACAGAGAGCTGAGGAGGCCCAGCCAGGTTCCCTGGCCCCACATAGTGCTGGCCCCCTGCCCCCCTGGGCTAGGTGGGCTGCTGGCCCGGCCTTTACCCATGCTTTATCTGGGGGACATGACACAGTCCATCCTGAGGTCCGGCCCCACTCCCTCTGTTCTCCCATTTAATGGCCTCCCCCCAGCTCAGGCCTCCCGGCCCTTCCCAAGCCGCTTGGCCCTCTTGCCTGCCACTCATTTCCCTGTTGGAACCCTGTCTCCTTTCATGAAACCCTCTGGCTGGGACACCCAAGGACAGGGCATCCTGGCAGTCAGCAGCTTTCTCTCCAGCAGCCCCTTGGCCTCCTGGCCTGAGCAGGAACAGGGCACCTTAACCCACCCACACTGCCCTCCAGCCCCAAGTCCAGCCATCTGGATGATGACCTCCCAGGGTGACATCCAAAGCTTGGAGGAATGGGACAGCATCTCTGTCATCCCACTGGGTGCTATTGCTGCCAGTCCTTCTGTTCACAGGCACTGAGTGGTAAACTGAGACCTGTTAGATGAGGCCACTCTCCTCAGTGTGAGTTCGTGAAGGCAAGGCCACCCCATTTCCTCCCTCCCTGGCCCACCATAAGGGGAAGGATGGGGAACAGCTAGCAGAGGACACTCCTACCCGCCTTACCCCTCACCTCCCAGGTGACCTTGGCCCTGGAGAGTTGGGTGATGGCCCCTTCACTACTTTCTGGGTCATCTGTGAGGGCTTCCAAGAGGAGGTGAGCATAGGGTGCAGTTTCTACGGCTCCAGCATCCTCAGTCTTGGCCCCTTCTGCATTCATACTTCTGAGAGGTCGGTCCCTGCAGATGTCAGGACCAGGCAGGGTGCCCAGGGTGCTGGGGAAGCCCTGGGGAGGGCTCCAGCCTGGGAGCCGCCACCGCCTGTCCTGCCAGCTGGGACAGGAGCTAGTCAGAAGGTGCTAATTGATGTTTAGATCCAGGCTGGCTCCTCAATCACGTCTTTCTCTCTCTCTCTTCTTTTTTTTATTTGAGTCTCTGGAGCACACAGTAAACAGTCATTTGGTTCTCAGGGCCCTGCAAATTGGTGTTTATGGTGTAAGGACCAGGACTCTCCACCCAAACACGGCCAGCTGGGAGGGAGGCACTGGGCTGGGTAGGGATGGCATGCCCTCCCGCCCTTAGAGGCCCAGCAGTGGGAGGGCTTTCCTCCA